ACTAACACCCAAAAGAGATGTCCTTTTCATTACAGGGGACTGGAATGCAAAAGTAGGAAGTCAAAAAACTCCTGGAGTAACAGGCAAATTTGGCCCTGGAGTACAGAATGAAGCAGGGCAAAGGCTAATAGAGTTTTGCCAAGAGAACGCACTGGTCAAAGCAAACACCCTCTTCCACAACATAAGAGAAGACTCTACACATGGACATCACCAGATGGTCAACACCGAAATCAGATTGATTATATTCTTTGCAGCCAAAAATGGAGAAGCTCTACACAGTCAGCAAAAACAAGACTGGGAGCTGACTATGACTCAGATCATGAACTCCTTATTGCCAAATTCAGACTTAAATTGAAGAAAGTAGGGAAAACCACTAGACCATTCAGGTATGACCTAAATAAAATCCCTTAAGATTATAGAGTAGAAGTGAGAAATAGATTTAAGGGACTAGATCTGATAGACAAAGTGCCTTGTGAACTATGGACGGAGGTTCGTAACACTGTACAGGAGACAGGGATCAAGACCATCCCCATGGAAAAGAAATGCAAAAAAGCAAAATGGCTTTCTGAGGAGCCTTACAAATAGCTGTGAAAAGAAGAGAAGTGAAAAGCAAAGGAGAAATGGAAAGATATTCCCATCTGAATGCAGAGTTCCAAAGAATAGCCAGGAGAGACAAGAAAGCCTTCCTCAGCGATCAGTGCAAAGAAATAGAGGAAAACAACAGAATGGGAAAGACTAGAGATCTCTTCAAGAAAATCAGAGATACCAAGGGAATATTTCATGCGAAGATGGGCTCAATAAAGGACAGAAATGGTATGGACCTAATAGAAGAAGCAGAAGATATTAAGAAGAGGTGCAAGAATACACAGAAGAACTGTACAAAAAAGATCTTCACGACCCAGATAAGCATGATGGTGTGATCACTCACCTAGAGCCAGACATCCTGGAATGTGAAGTCAAGTGGGCCTTAGAAAGCATCACTACAAACAAAACTAGTGGAGGTCATGGAATTCCAGTTGGGCTATCTCAAATCCTGAAAGACGATGCTGTGAAAGTGATGCACTCAATATGCCAGCAAATTTGGAAAACTCAGCAGTGGCCACAGGACTGGAAAAGGTCAGTTTTCATTCCAATCCCAAAGAAAGGCAATCCCAAAGAATGCTCAAACTACCGCACAATTGCACTCATCTCACATGTTAGGAAAGTAATGCTAAAAATTCCCCAAGCCAGGCTTCAGCAATACGTGAACTGTGAACTTCCAGATGTTCAAGCTGGTTTTAGAAAAGGCAGAGGAACCAGAGATCAAATTGCCAACATCTGTTGGATCATCAGAAAACCGAGAGTTCCAGAAAAACACCTATTTCTGCTTTATTGACTATGCCAAAGCCTTTGACTGTGTGGATCACAATAAACTGTGGAAAATTCTGAAAGAGATGGAAATACCAGACCACTTGACCTGCCTCTTGAGAAACCTATATGCAGGTCAGGAAGCAACAGCTAGAACTGGACATGGAACAACAGACTAGTTCCAAATAGAAAAAGGAGTACGTCAAGGCTGTATATTGTCACCCTGCTTATTTAACTTATATGCAGAGTACATCATGAAAAACGCTGGGCTGGAAGAAGCACAAGCTGGAATCAAGACTGCCAGGAGAAATATTAATAACCTCATAAATGCAGATGACACCACCCTTAATGGCAGAAAGTGAAGAGGAACTAAAGAGCCTCCTGATGAAAGTGAAAGAGGAGAGTGAAAAAGTTGGCTTAAAGCTCAACATTCAGAAAACTAAGATCATGGCATCCGGTCCCATCACTTCATGGCAAATAGATGGGGAAACAGTGGAAGCAGTGTCAGACTTTATTTTTTGGGGCTCCAAAATCACTGCAATGGTGACTGCAGCCATGAAATTAAAAGACGCTTACTCCTTGGAAGGAAAGTTATGACCAACTTAGATAGCATATTAAAAAGCAGAGACATTACTTTGTCAACAAAGGTCCACCTACTCAAGGCAATGGTTTTTCCAGTGGTCATGTATGGATGTGAGAGTTGGACTGTGAAGAAAGCTGAGCGCCAAAGAATTGATGCTTTTGAACTGTGGTGTTGGAGAAGACTCTTGAGAGTCCCTTGGACTGCAAGGAGATCCAACCAGTCCATCCTAAAGGAGATCAGTCCTGGGTGTTCACTGGAAGGACTGCTGCTGAAGCTGAAACTCTAATACTTTGGCCACCGCATGAGAAGAGTTGACTCATTGGAAAAGACCCTGATGCTGGGAGGGATTGGGGGCAGGAGGAGAAGGGGACGACATGATGAGATGGCTGGATGGCATCACCAATTCGATGGACATATGTTTGGGTAAACTCTGGGAGTTGGTGATGGACAGAGGGGCCTGGTGTGCTGAGATTCAAGGGGTCACAAAGAGTTGGACACAACCGAGCGACTGAACTGAACTGATTCCTCTTAGAATGACACTAATATTAAAGAAATGTTCTATTTTCCATGTTTTACATGATTCTATTACTATACACCTTCACACTTAGAAAAGATAATTCCCGATTTACCTGGATATCATGCCTCTGAAAACAAGTGGAACTTCTGCTCTGTAATTTCATCCCTGTACTAAATTTCGCTGAATAGTTTTATCGAGCATCATGTAGAGTAATACAGGCTGCACTATGATGAAATGAAATGAAGGCCCTGGCCCTGGGCAATTAGTATTTCTGGCACAAGTTACAAAACAAATAGCCTTAAACATGTTTCCAAGAAAGCTGAAAGTTTTCTATTGAAAACCCACTTTCTAAGAAGTTAACAGAAAAAAATCACATTTAGCTCCTCCCCTGAAGGTCCTGTGAAGGACAGGCCTCATAAGGCAAAAGGAGAAGAGGGCGGCAGAGGATGAGGTGGTTGGATGGCATCACCGACTCAACGGATATGACTTTGAGCAAACTCCTGGAGATAGTGGAGGACAGGGAAGCCTAGCATGCTTCAGTCCATGGGGTTGCAAAAAGTCAGACACGACTTAGCAACTGAACAATAAATAATAGGTCATCAGAATCATAATTCACTGAACAACTTTATCCTATGCAAAACACAACTGAATACCAGACTCTGAGACCAATTACATCTACCTCCACTATAACATGTAATACCACGCCCTCCAAATTGAGTTCTTTTGTTGGGTTGTGTGTGTTCCATACAGCATCAAAATCCAAACAGTGAAATAAAACTTTCAAAATCCCCATCTAGAATGCTAAATATATGTATGAAAACCATCAGATTGTGAACTACCCATATTAGGGATTTTAAATGAAAAACTAAAATATTTTTATATCTCAGAAAAGTTTTCATTTAAGTTATTAAGAAAAGTCTTTTTGATGCAATTCAGAAAAATGGGGTCAGTTCATTGACAAATATAGTACTTTACATATAACTTGCCAAGGTTTAGGTTGGTAAGACCTCAAAAACCATCTCAATACCAAAAACTGTCTAAGGAATTCTGGAATACAGAGGACTCATAGCTTTAAAAACACTAAAAGCAGGTAAATCCAGGTTTTATTATTAAAACAACCATTATAAGGACAAGAAAATATTTTAAAAAGAAAATTAATGTTAAGATGTCATCAATAAAATATAAAATTATATGTAATTCAAAATACGGATCTTGGGAACTTAACATTTAGTCAAAAAAGCTAAGTGGAAAAGAACTACATATAGCATTACATATGTGACTATACTTTATGATTTGCCCAGAATCTTCCTCGTTTATATGTGTTCTACTGCAGTTATTATTAGCAATCCTTATAGGCTGAAGTCTCTCAACCTAGCTGATAAATTATATAGTCATTTTTAATATAATACATTTCTATAAAATGCAAAATTAAATAAAACTAACAACATATACTTCGTTTATGCTCTTTGAGAACCCAAAATAATCCAGAAAGAATGATTTAAAATACATTCATAGGATATCTGAGGCAGAGGAGAGGTACAGAGCTGAAGACAGGAAGGAACACACAGGTAAAGACAACTCCAGCTCTTAAACTGGACGGTGAGCCATGAGTACTCATTTGATAGTTGTTTCATAATTAGCATTTTTCACATGTTCATATACATATATAAAACATTTATTTAAAATATTAAAAAGAGCAAAATAATAAGATGGGGTAAAATTACTACCCATGATCCATGTTTTTAAGATAATAGAATAAACTATCAGAAAATTTATCAGCAATTCAATAGTAATTCTGATAGACGAGTTAAAAAGTATTTTCTGGCAGCCACTTGCATCATGCTAGCAAAAGTTACACAGAAAAAAATTACATCTATTTGATGGATAAAGGAAAGCTGGTTGCTTGGTGGGTTTGAATGAAAGATGGTTGATATAAGAAAGAAAGCTGGAATAGGATGAGGCAACTGACAAATAAATAAATAAATAAGCACAAGTACATGATAAAGGAAGCAAGATACAAGAGTACGAGCACAGAAAGAGCTAATGCAAGAGGTTAATCGGAACATGAACTTCTTTTATCAAAACTAAAAGGTAAGAGTTTGTATAAATAACAAGGCCGTGAATGTATGCTGGCAAATTAAGACAGTGATAAGCATGAACATTAAAAATATTGTAGAAAATAACTTCCACAGTTATCTCACTTTAGTGGCACTTATCAACAGAGGGTCTTATTCAGCAAAATCACTAAGAAACATATGCTAAGAGAATATATAATTTTTTGATTTAAGTTAAGGTAAATGTGCAAACTGAAAGTAACTGGTGATTTTACTAATTCAGTGTTTATATTCATTACTTGAGTATACTTAGGAACAAGGATGCTTGTATGCTTTGGTGATGATTCACAGTTATACTCCTAACTCCTAATGATGGTCCCATCATTAGGTTTTTAAACAGTAAAAAAAAAAAAAAAATAATGGTATGTATGTTTTTATTGATGGAAGCTAGGTCTGTATTTATTACAGAGTAAAACAGTAATTATTAAGAAATGAATACCTGGAATACTTGCAGGAGAAATTGGGCCAGATCGTGACTGGTTGCTTCCTACAGGAGAGCCGACAGGAGAAGGCGATGGGCCCCCAGGGATGCTGGAGAGATGGGGAGATGCATGTGGAGAGAAAGGCGACTGAGCTGGGTTGCTCTGATCTCCTTGGCTGCTCGTGGACCCGGATGCACTGACTGCTGAGCTCAAAGTTGCTTCCGTTCCCGTGGGGAGGTCATCAATGGAGCCAGACAGGTCCTAAGAAGGAAAGAAATAGCAGGCATTGATGGAGTAACACATATTTGGACCAATACCTATTCAAAATACTATTTGACCCTAACCTTTCAGAGTTTTTCTAGAGAATATCCCAAATTCAGAGCATGGCCACTTGTTATTAGAAGATTTTAATGAGGTCTCTTATAAGATAAATCCATAGGATCTAGTCTATCACTAAAAAGTGAATAAATTTGCACCTCTTTCATTAAACTGTCCTACAGCTTTCCTTTAAGCTGTCAGCGCCCAGTCCAACAAACCCGCCAAAGACTCACAGGAAAAGCACGCTAGGGGGTGATGTAGCATCTGAATGGAATGCCTGATTCATACATGATCACTTCAATAAACTAAAAACTAAAGGCTTTGGATCTGATTAATATTGGAGGACTGTCTCAATTTCAAAATATGATCTTCTAATGTAATAGCAATCCAAACTGTAACCAAACTTTGTTGGGGAGAAATTCTTATATTTTAGGTAATTCAAAAGTTCTCTTATAAATAGAAGAGTGATGTATATTTTTACCTGATATGATGACAATAAATCCCTTTGAAGTTATATTGGCAGAAATGAGTCCTAACGTTATAACGTACTATCTTTTTTTGAAACAGTCATTTGTATTAACTCTAGAAAAACAAGAGGTACCATACCAGAAGGAAGTACAACCAGAGAATATTACTTGGCCTAGCAGTGAACACTGAGTATTGGTATAGTATATGTTTGTATTTGTTGTTGTTTAGTTGCTAAGTCATGTCCGATTCTTTTGCAACCCCATGGACTGTAGCCTGCCATGCTCCTCTGTCCATGGGATTTCCCAGGCAAGAATACTGCAGTGGGACGCCATTTCCTTCTCCAATAACTTACTTTTTATAACAGTTTTAAGCTAAACAAACAATCTTTAAGGTCCTATAACTTTACCATAATACCTTCTAAGGCAGATATTAAAATTCCCATTTGACAGACATAGAAACCAAAGGTCAGAGAGTCAAGGTTACTGTTACCAGTTACACCTCTGAGAACAGACAGCATCTGCCAAAGATTATGACAGGAGGATGAGAGAAGAAAAATGAGAAAACTGTCTTTTGAGCCCTTATCAGAGTGAGAGGACAGAACCTTTACTCCAGTCTTCCGCACGGCTAGGCACAAAGGTCCCAAATGGGGTTCCCACCAACAGGAGCTCTGTACACCAGTGCAGGCCTGTGGCAATGGTGAGGCTCCCACATCACTGACTCTGCAAACCCAGATGAGACCTGGAACTAGGTGCTAAATGAGCCCTAAAGGCTGAGAGGCAAGATAAAAGATATCTGTCTTGATAACTTAGGACTAAACACTGCAAAATGGGATCAGAAATACTAGGTTATGGTACTGTCTGTAAAGCAGATTCAACCCTAATTGACATCTTCCACTCACGCGACTTTATTGTTTAATCTTACCTCACTGCTTACTACTGGGACTGCTAAAACTAAGGCTCTGGAAACTGATGGAGGAATATGCTTAGCATCTGAAGAATGAATGTAGACCAGCAAGTACAAAGGGGGCCACTAAAGCAGAGTTGGTTAGAGCTCTTCAGGGTACCCCAAAATGTCACAACAAAAACTCAGGATGAGGATCCAGGGCTCCTGGAAAGTTTATCTATTAACCATCTGTTATACAATTAACTTCTCTCTTTTTAACAGCAAAATTGCCACTGATTAAAAACATTCTAAAGAATAACTGATGAGATGAGAACCTCACAAAAAGATGAATATTATAGAAAAACAAAAATTTCTTATGCTAAGAATAACATCTAAGTAAAACACAGTAATCTTCAATGTCATATAATTGAGTGTATGAGTAAGAAACCTAACAGTAGCAAGTGATTTAAAATATCACCTCTAGAAAAAGTATCATCAAAGCTCCATAATAAAATGGGACAAACTGAATCACGTTTTCAGAATTCAGAGAAAAAAATATATTAATATAAATATCTCTACTTAGGGCATATGAGATGCATGGTTTTGCATACATTCAGCTGATAAACATTGTATTCAACTTGATGACTGGGTTCAACAACAGTTCAATTCAGACTTTCAGAACTTTTTGTGAAGCCAGGCAGAGACAGAGGAAGAATATTATGCAAGTAAGATACTAAGTACAATGTAGAAGGTTTAGTTCAGTTCAGTCACTCAGCCGTGTCCGACTCCTTGCGACCCCATGGACTGCAGCACACCAGGCCTCCCTGTCCATCACCAACTCCTAGAGTTTACTCAAACTCATGTCCATTGAGTTGGTGATGCCATCCAACAATCTCATCCTCTGTCATCCCCTTCTCCTCCTGCCTTCAATCTTTCCCAGCATCAGGGTCTTTTCAAATGAGTCAGCTGTTCTCATCAGGTAGCCAAAGTATTGGAGTTTCAGCTTCAACATCAGCACTTCCAATGAACATTCAGGACTGATGTCCTTTAGGATGAACTCGTTGGATCTCCTTACAGTCCAAGGGACTCTCAAGAGTCTTTTCCAACACCACAGTTCAAAAGCATCAATTCTTCGGCGCTCAGCTTTCTTCACCGTCCAACTCTCACATCCATACATGACTACTGGAAAAAACCACAGCCTTGACTAGACGGAACTTTGTTGGCAAAGTAATGTCTCTGCTTTTTAATATGCTATCTAGGTTGGTCATAACTTTTCTTCCAAGGAGCATCTTTTAATTTCATGGCTGCAGTCACCATCTGCAGTAATTTTGTACCCCCCAAAAATAAAAGTCTGTCACTGTTTTCACTGTTTCTCATTTTGCCATGAAGTGATGGGACCAGATGCCATGATCTTCGTTTTCTGAATGTTGAGCTTTAAGCCAATTTTTTCACTCTCCTCTTTCACTTTCATCAAGAGATTCTTTAGTTCTTCTTCACTTTCTGCCATAAGGGTGGTGTCATCCGCATATCTGAGGTTACTGATATTTCTCCCGGCAATTATGAAGTACTCACACTTCAGCAATTAAGGCAATTATCTGAGTCCCTCCAAACAAAACTTTAAGTACACACATGCAGAGGTGTGAGCTGCAGGCTGACAGGGTCCACAGGACAGGATTCCACCCATACCTCCTGCCCCAGGCTGAATGCTGGCCTCTCTGGGTGTGGAAGATAGTTGGGTCCTGAATAATTCTTTAAGTACCTATACCCAACGTATTCCCTTCCTAACCTGATATAACCAGTTCACAGAAGTGCACACCTGTGGACTCCACAAAGCAGGGCCTGACAAGCTGTGTGAAGACTAAAGGTAAATCCTACCTATTCCGGCACCACCCACAAGCCACACATTTTTAAATGACAGAAAAAAAAATCAGAAGAGTAATACTTTGTGATACATGAAAATATTTGAAATTCAAATGTCAGGGTTCCATAATATCGTACTGGGATATCTTATAGTCACAGCCACTCCTCTGAAGTGCTGTCTATGGCTGCTTTGGGGCCACAATGCAGACCTGCATTGAGACTATGGCCCTCAAAACCTGTAATATTTACTATCTGGCCCTTACAGAAAAGGGTGCTGACCTGCAGTATCTAGTCTGGCCTCTCATGCCTTTGCCTCTTCCATGGGGAAACAGGGGGAGGACAGACAGGTCTCAGCTGAAATGCATAGTGACCTAAGTGCATAAGGAATCATATAGGCTTCACCAAGAAAAGGGACCAACTCCACATTCATACCTGTCTGGAAAACACTGATTGGGTGCCAGATAGAACTCTCCTCTTTAACGGTATGAGACTAACTCAGGGAGCACCCACTTAAGAACGGGTGGCAGGCTCTATGTACAGATACCTATTACCTAACAAACGTGCATTATTCATAAACAAGGGTCCATCATGTAAGAATCAGTTGGGAGGAAATATGCCTTTCATGATTTCTTTGAAGAAAAAAAAACTGGTAGGTAACTAGATATAAAATCATTATTTTCTAATATACTACCATAAGAAATTCAACAGAAAAGATGACATAGATTCAATTTAAAAAATCATTATTTGAAGTTAAATAATTTTATGCAAATCTTTTTTCATAAAAAACAAACTGTTACTTGGAAAATTCTAAAATTCTCTGCACTACCTATAAATTCCTTCCCTGTTCGCCCTTAAAATTCTGTTATGGTTGAAAAAGTGACATGGATGGGTGTTAAGAGAGCTTCATTCAAGCTGCAAAGGCATGAAAAACATTTCTGTTATTCAACAAGCTGATCAAAGAAATATCAAGAGAAAAATATAGAAACGGTGGCTTTCTTAGTGTTCATAAGTCATCAGAATTTCAGTGCTGACTACACCTCAGTGTAACAGAAGAGTAATAAAAAGATATAATTTCTATATTACTGTTATACACACATGTAACTTTTATATGTAAATTATAGGGAAATATTCCCGCCCTGCAGATACTTAGGGTATCCATATGTATAGCTATCTTAAAACACGTTAATAAAAGAAGTTCAACAGTGGTTTAAACATTCAGCCTAGTTAACAAAGAAGCTCTGTAACGAATACCCCTCTAGAGGACAATTTAGTCAGCAGGGCACCAACTCTATTCTTCCTTTATAAGTACCATCAGATCTATGATGCCTGTAAAGAACAGAGAGACCTTACTGCATCTCATTCTAACCAAGGCACCTTCAAGCTACAGTGCTTCCATTTATCTTGCTGGAAAACTGGCAGGTAAGGTAATTGCAGGGAGGACTCTTTTTAAGGGGCTGGAGATCCCCCTGCCCCACAGCATTCTTTACATCCTCCCTCTTTATTGATGCAGTGAAGGGTAAGGCAATGGCTTCATGGGCTCATGCATAGCAAATTCAGTATTTTGCAATGACAATCTGATTTGGTGAAGTCTTGCTATCAAGTTGGGTTTTCAATATCTGACATCACTCAGAATACAGAATACTTTCTACCACACCCCAAATAATACAGTCCCTACTATCAATGGTTAGTTTATAAAATCAATGCTTTTTTTGGGGAAAAGCTTGTTTCACTTT